ACTGTGAGCTGAACAGTCACGTATGTGGGTGACCGGGTAGCTACACCGTAACAGTGATATGAGTATGGTTGTTCACAGCTTGCAGGTTCGGGGCAGATATCGTGCTTAACAGAGCGAGCAAGCCAAAGAACGGAGCAGGAGCGACAGCCGAGCACCGACCACCGAGGGAGGGAAATTTCTCGGAAATTGGTTTTTTATTTTATCATCTTTTACATACAGACGTCGATGTCCAGCGGTTTTTGTTCAACTTCGTGGTTGAGTGATCGGTTCAGGTGAGTGATTTGTAAACGAAGCGAATAGCTCTAACTGAGTAATGATGTTTTGTAACTAAACTAAAAATTGGGACAACATCCACCAACACGAGATTTTTTGTCGACCTAGTGTGCGTATTGCTCCATTTCTATTGCATATTGCTCCGGATGAGCTATTAGGTTCTCCGGACTGGGAAGGATGGCCTGATTGTACGCTCCTCATGTTGGCCTTTAACCATTTTACAACAGGTTTGATTTATTTTGCCATTCCTGTTTCAATACACACTTGTTTTCGCCTCCTAGTAGACTTCTATTTCGTGTTACTCATTCGCTGCAAATACGCGTCGTGTGCCGTGTGACCTGCAAACACCAGTCTCAATATCTGCTCACTTCCGGATCGGTGTGCATTATCGCTTGTGAGTGCCGAAAGCGGCTGCTATATTTAACACTCAACTTACGGCCTAACGATATTTCATATCTCAGGCATGGAATCCACAGAAAAAACAAAATTCCGATTGTCTGAATTACCCGAAACCGGTAAGCGCGTCGGTTTAAATAGGACTCAACGAGCTGAGGAGAAAGTAACTTCGAAGCATAGAAACTTGGGCTAGTTGGACACGTGAAAAAAGTCTACCAAAATTTGGATGAAGTACTCCGGGAGATTCAAGGCTAACTCTCGTGCGTCGTGTTTAATCTGACAACTCGTGCATGTATCAAGTGTATGTCTAATTTAAGATTGCTAAATCCTTCCAGATACTCTGGGATCTTCCTCACCTTTCTTGTTTGCTCCTTTCAACCTCCTTAGAACTATCTACTTTTCATCCTCCGGAATGAGATGTTGTAAACTTTTGGCTTCGTACAGCTAGAAACAAACCTAACCACACATGCAAGAGCTTTTGCACTCAGTGATCCGATTAAAGATCAAAGCTTCCATTTACTTTCCCCTAAAGCAATCGTATTTTTCTACTTTAGGAGACCACCAGCACTCCTGGCGTTGCTTCGAAAAACATGCTCCAGAAATGCTGTTGTTTCATGTGCTCTCCATGGTGAGGTTTTTTCACTGTCCTTCCAATATAGTTGAAAAAACCAAATCTGAAAAAAAGCAAATGGTACTGACCTTGCCTTCCGCTCACTAAGGTAAGAGAGCGGAAAAGTAACAGGCAATGGACCCGGGGTTGAAAAGCTTATTCCCAAGATACAGTGGGCCATGGACATGGGCTGGTTTATTTGGGCATTCGAGGTGATCACGTAACACTATCTGTTTGTCCTCGACACGTCTTAATTTTCGAACCAACAATTTGCCGGGGTTGGCCTGTGAACGAATCGACTCTCAACGACCCCTAAATGTTGAAACTTACGGGTTGCCCAAAATGGGAATATACATGCGTAGACACTTGTGTGTTTCTAAGGCTTACAGTACACTCAGCAAGGTATTAAGGCTGGTCACTTCACAGAAATTCTATCTTCCATTCTTAAGCTTGAATGGACGGATGAAGAAGAATGTTTTTGTGCTTCCAGTAAAATTATTCAACAGATCTTACGAAATGAAGGTAAACGTAAATGTACCCTTAGTATTTCAACAAACAGTGAGGTTTTCTTTTGCCTGCCACTTGACACTGCCCCTGGTGCATCATAAATTACTTTGTGGCAGCAGAGTTGCTGTCTTCATATAGAATTAAACACCAGACATTTGGCAATTATCGGGGATGCCACATAATTTACTACTTCAGCTATACGCCGCTGGCTACTAGGAAAACTGCCACTTATCAAACGCTACCATAACTAAGTTGCTTGTGATTTTCGTCGTCGTTAAAAACCTGGAAAAACTAAGACGTGTGAACCGGACGCCCTACTATGTGAACTCCTCGTGATATCCATGGGTTCAAAAATCCATCATTCGTGTCGTCCAGATGATGAGTCAGTGCGCTTGTCATACGCAAGTATCCGTGTGTTTAAACACCTAGAAAGAGGTTCACTTAACTTGGACGCAAATGAACCTAACTCCGAGAGTTGCCTCCTGCCACAACCGACTGGTTGCTATTACTCGTAATAAATTTTCCTCATATCATACGTGCATGTCTTCTTGATATTACAGGCAAGCACATGTTTACGTGCTCACACCTGTACCGTCAATTTGTCCAACACAAACCACTTCACCTGATACCTGCTGCTTACCTTCCACCTGAAAAAGCTAGGCCATTTGTGCATGGCAGCGAAGCCCTCGCTTCTTAAAAGGGCATACATGCACAAATAACACTAAAACATCTTTCGTGTAATTGGTTGTTGCCTTCCCAATAGCCATAAAGGTGGAAACTATGGGGCGAAAAAGTTCTCAACAACGATCTCACTCGACGTCTAGTTAACAACTGACGGAGCCACACTGACAGCCTTCGTCTGATATTCGCGCCAAAAATTACAAACATACGTTAATTCAAACAACTCGAGAATTTCGTAGCAAGTTATGAAACATTTTAGATTGAACATATACACACTGGAATGTTACCAGTTAGTGTGTGCCATCAAATCATAGGTGAAAAAGTGAGCTGGATGCAAGCATTTCCATAATTTTGCATGTAGCTCCGGTAGGTGTGAATGGTTATGCGCACCACCGATATTTAATTCTAATAGCCATTATCCAACGCAAAGTTGGGGCACTAAATATTACTGACTCGGTGTAGCTCGATAATGTCTTGTGTTCACCGAAGAAACACAACCGTGTGAGTTATAGTTTGAGATTTAGCATTGTTATATCTTGTGAGTCGCTGCTCTGTTGTATCTGGCTGCTAACCCCGCTCCAGTACCTAGTGCCGGAGAAAAAAACCTAAGGGAACACGACATCCTTATTCCAAACAAGCGAGTGCGATAGCGTGAGTGCGTACAAGTGCAAAAATACAACGGTCACAAGCTAATTCATTGAAGAGACGCAGTCTGGCGCTGTCATCCGCTGCATATTGAGGGGGCGTTGTCTGTCTGGTCAGTATCCAGTGGAGTTGGGGGTCTCGGTAGATTTCGGACACTCGGTGGTTGCTTTTGTAGTGGTCTGGCTGCCCAGTAAGTTAGTTTACCAGGAGTGTGTGGCAAAGAAATAAAAATAATTACACTAGGTTGGGTATACAAAAATAGAGAGATCAGATGGAACAGACTCACTAACAGTTGTTCTCTTTAAAACAGCTCGTCGTTGGTCCAGGTCTACGAATAAACAATAATCCAGTTATGTTGGTCCAGAGGTCTTCTTCTGAACAGTTCCCACATATAATAGATTCCGAAGATGTCTGAAATGTTTTGGTACCAGAGTTAGTACATGAGACTCGCGAATGACCGCTGCGAGCGCGAGCGAAATCAGAAGAGAGAGTCAAAGCACGTGACGACGCTTGTATTCTGTGCAATTGTACAAGTGCGCGTTTTTTGTAGTTTTTCGTATTTAAACAAAAAACGATTATGCAATTGATGAAATACGTAGTGTTATAATGGAAGTAAAATAAAGGTACAAAACGCCGTACTTTCAGGAAGCTGACCTTCCAGATACCTCCCCCTTTTGGCCGTTCAACGTAAGATTGTCAACGCGGATCAAGTTGTAAAGGTTCCACCCTTTTTCTAGTGCGACCGGTACGGCGTCTCGGTTGCAGCAACAGATCTGTCTTTGGTGGTACATGCAAGGCGGTGGCTATAAGTAAGGGTCTTGGGATACCAAAGTTTCCAGGAGCAGGTTGAAGTCTAGTAACTATTCTTACGCCTTTGGGATTTGGCACTCATTCAGCCGTAATTGACTGATATGTCGTTTCCATATGAATGGTCACATCTTTACGTTGCGAATCAATTGACCGCTTCTTTTGAAGACGACTCTATCGGTTCACCTTCGGTGCCCGGGGCGATAGTCCCTGACAAGCACATGAGCTCCAGGCCTGAACGTCCGCTTTCCTCCTGCCGATGTTGATGAACATAAGTTTTCGATCGGCAGTGTTAGAAGATGCAAACGATCGATCCAGTCTACGCCCAGAAAATTAAGCTCACAACCAACAAGATAGAAAATATCACAAACACGGTGGCCTGCTATTTCCAGCTCACACTGGAATTCACCAACTAGTTGATGCTTGCCATCTAAAGCATTTCAGGCAGTGTTCATTGGTTGTCTGAGTTCCGGTGATCCTATCTTCCTCCAGGTGCGCCGGTAAACAGTCGTAAGATCTGGAGCCGTGTCGAGCTGCAGTTGAATCATGCTTCCTTTTGCTTTGATTGTAACATCGACGAACGTCGACCCGGTTATCAAATGCTGTCAGTATTGTGTTAGAAGGGGGTTTTGACTAGCTCCGTCCGTTTCGTGACCTGCGTGGCTGCGTTTTTGGCTTGCTGTTCGCGTCCAGCGTTGACTTTCTGTAATAATTAGAATAGTGGTAGGTATCGTAACTACCGAATGTATGTACAGTATAGAAGTCCAAAATATGGACGAATGTATATCGTATATTCTCGTATATCGCGGGCGTACTATATATCGCGTCGTAAAACAAAGGCATATAAAAATACACTAAACAGAATGAATAGAATAGAGTCAATGTTCACCACATCCACCACACGTTGAATGAGCGTGCGGGTGTTTATAGTCTCTAATAGGTTGGAACCTTAAACGTTCAGATCTTCTCAATGTCGGATTATCAGGTTCAGTGTTTGTTTCATGCTCATCAGAACCATCTGTAAGAGAATCAGAAAGGTCATTAGTGTTTGAAGCAACAGACGTATTGCCGCCAAACTGACCTCTAGCATTGAATTCGACCTGATCAACATGCCGTCTGTGACTTGAGAGATCTTCGAGGTCAAGAACCGTGACCATACGATTCCCGTTCCTCCCAATAACAACACCAGTAGATGGACGTAGATCGTTACCCTTGAAAAATGTTACGTCGGCAGTCCCAATGCATTCCAGGTTCGTGCGTAAGGATCTCGACTTGAATAGCTCTGCCGGACTCTTACCAGTAATTGAATGAGCAGCATTCCTGTACTGCATCAAGAAATTATCAATACCTCGATCAAGATCATGGAAAGTAACAGGGGAAATAGAATTGATGGCAGATTTCAAAGTTCGAACAAAATTTTCAGCGAGTCCATTAGACTGTGGATGACGGGGAGCAGTAAATAAATGACGACAACCAAGTCCTTTTAACCAATATTCGAGAGATTTCGCTGTGAAGTGTGAGCCGTTATCAGTGACCAAAACAATTGGTACACCTTCACGACTAAATAGTTTCCTCAAAGCATACTGAGTAAACTCAGAACTCGGGGATGTCGTGAGAAATACTTCCGTCCAGCGTGAATAGGAATCTACAACCACCAGTGCATAATATTTGTTCAAAAATGGACCGCAATAATCTGCATGAATGCGTTGCCATGTTTCACAGGACAATGGCCAAGGAATCCATTTGGATGATTTGGAATGAATTTTGTGTGTACAGTTCATACAATCCTTAGCCGTACGCGCAATGTCTGCATCCAACTCTGGCCACCAACAAGTAAGTCTGGCAAGAGACTTCATTTTGTCGATGCCTAGATGTCCGGAATGCAAATCGGATAAAATGGCACTTCTGTGTGTTGGTGGAATCACGACACGATCGTTATAACACAACAATCCATCAGGTGTCAATGCTAAACTGTCTCGACGAGCATAAAATGCGGGAAATCGACGACGTTCTTGGTGCGTCCATCCTCGTCTTAATGCAGAGATAACGGATGAAAAGTATTTTCGGGTATCACGCACAAGCTCGTCTCGTTTAATCGGAAGCGGTTGTACTAACAAACAATCAGAAACATTAGATTGTGATAAACTTTCTGGAACTCTGGATAGATAATCGACGTGCTGAATGGATTTAGCACCACGATGAATAATGTCATATGTATACGAACTGAGAGCGATGCTCCAACGTTGAACCATGGCTGCGGATGACTTAGCCAATGATTTCATAGGATGGTATATGAATTTCAAGGCTTCATGATCGGTCACAATCGTGAATGGTTTACCAAAAAGATACTTGTGTAGTCTACTTACACCCCAGTAGACAGCAAGAGCTTCACGCTGTGTTTGAGAATAGCCCTGTTCGGCTTGTGTTAGTCGACGGGATGCACAAATGACAGGACGGCCATTTTGTTCGAGAATAACACCTAATCCAGTTGGAGACGCATCAGTTATAACGGTTGAATGATCTTTCGCAGAAAATGGTTTCAAAATAGCGTCAGATTTAAGATAATTGAGTAAAGAACGCAAAGTTTTCTCATGCTCAGATATCCATGAAAATGTTTTCAGAGATAACAGTTCAAATAGACAATAAGCTTTCTGAGAAAAGTTAGGTATGAATCGGGAATAATATTGCAATGCACCAAGTATGGAACGAAGTTCGGACAGATTAGAAGGGGATGGAGCATTGACTAAAGGCGATAAACGTTCATTATCAGGAGAAAAACCATTTCCATCAACAGTGTAGCCTAAACATGATAGTTTGTAAACAGAAAATGCACATTTCGAAGAATTAACGGCAACATTTAAGTCATGAAATCTTTTGAATAATGCAAGCAAGCGTGAATCGTGCGTAACCTTATCGACAGCATGAACTATCACGTCATCTTGATAAGTTACAACACCTTCAAGACCGTCAGTAATTGAATTAATCACATCTTGAAATACAGCAGGAGAGACATTAAGTCCGAATGGCAAGAAATTATACCGATATAATCCAAATGGTGTATTGATGACTGTGCATTCACTAGTAGCATCATCAAGTGGTATCTGCAAGTATGCATCCTTCAAGTCTATTTTTGAAAAGATTTTTGATCCCGCTAGACGATACAACACATCTTCAGGTTCTTCTGTAGCACACGAGCGTTGAAGTAGGCTTTTGTTGAGTGTCAATCGATAATCGCCACAAATTCTAACAGTTTTACCATCAGACTTTAATGGCGTAACAATCGGCGTAGCCCATTTGGAAGACTCGACAGGTGTCAGAATACCTTTTTGGCACAATGAATCTAGAGCTAGACGCACTGGTTCACGCAAACCAAAAGGTACTATACGTCGTTTGAGGAAAATCGGATCACCAGAAACCTCGAGTTTCACTTTTGGTATGCGCATTCCTCCGGTGACTTTGGAGCAGCTCGTGATCAGTTGTTTCAATTCGGTTTCGTTGAAATTTGAAGTAAGTAGTGAAATGTTAACGTTAAGCGCACGTAAAACTTTGAGACCAATTATTGAAGGACCAGAATTCGATACAAGAAAATTACAATCAACAAAGTTACCACTGGAAACTTTGACTGGTATAGTACATGAACCAAGAAGCGGTAAAGCATGTCCAGTGATACCTCTAACAGATAATTGTGTCGGTTTTAAAACAGCAGTAGGATAAAATGCTATAAGATCTGACTCAGGAATAATGGATTCGACGCTGCCAGTATCAATGATAAAACTATGCTTTTTACCAGAGCCTGATATGAGCGTCTTCGACACATGCATAGAATTCGATAAAACAGATAAAGACATGGATGAGATGTTATCAGTCAAAGGCTTGATATCAGAATTTGAGTCGACAGTCAGTCTACAAACTCTTTTGGACTTACATACATTCTGAATATGCCCAATCTTACCACATGAAAAACATTTTGATTGGCGATGTATGCAAGTATATCTGGAGTGGTCCTGTCCACACGAAGCACATTTGCCAAGAACTTTTTTTGGTTGGCGTATTTGACGATTTTGAATGTTCGAATTCAGTTGGTTGTTTTTGTTATGATAACGCATATTGGTTTCAAATTTACCGTGTGGGCGACCTTCCAGCCCTTTCGACTTTAGTGCATTAAATAAAACGGTCTCGTTGCATTTGGTTACTTCTTTAACATCCTGGTATTGCTCGCAAATTTTTCTGATCGATATGAAGCGTTGATCAGTCTGTACTAGGAGCTTTTGTTGTAGATCTGGAAGATTAATTCCGGCAATGAGGCGATCACTCAGTTGGCTTTCAAGTTGTTGGCCGTAGTCACATTTTGCAGCCTGTGTTTGCAGTTGGAGGACAAAATCACGAATACTCTGAGATTCGGATCGAATAAGCGAATTGAATTTCGCTCGTTCTGCGGCCACAAAATTGATAGGCTTAAAATGACTGAGAATTAACTTCTTTAGAACATCGAATGTGCAATCGATCGGCGCCGTAGGGAATGATGAATTCTTTACAAGAGCATAAGCATCCTTCCCAATGTAGTGCAGCAAACAAGCTGTCTTCTTTTCATCACCCAGATCCGATTTGGTAAGACACCAAATGCTGAAGCGTTCCAAATAATCCTCCACCTCCCGTGCAGTTGAATGTACACTGAGCGATTCCAATTCAGATAACATTGTGATGAAAAGAGAAAAAAATTCCGGACCGCGACGCCAAATGTGATAATTAGAATAGTGGTAGGTATCGTAACTACCGAATGTACGCGTAGTATAGAAGTCCGAATATGGACAAATGAATATCGTATATTCTCGTATATCGCAGGCGTACTATATATCGCATCGTAAAACAAAGGCATATAAAAATACATTAAACAGAATGAATAGAATAGAGTCAATGTTCACCACACTTTCCTTGTGCCCATGTCGACTACACACTGAACGTTTGTGCTTTTTATAGGGACACAGTTGCACAAAATGCCATTTCCCGCATTGCCGAAGAGGGCTTTGTTCCATCAGAATTTGCCATAGCGGGAGGTTGTCTTGATGTCATCTTGGCAATATTGAAAGCAGAGTTCGATAAGGCTCGCTACAACATGACTCTGTCGTGTTTAAGGTTCAAGTGGCACTGGCACTCATGGATAATGGACTGTGGTATTATTTCCGGAGTTGGTTCAATCTTGTTCAATAATCTCGCTTTGATATCACTGTCTAAATGCGACGGAAGATCACTTCAAAAATAAAACATCTGTACTGGTCTTACGTCATGGTAGACAACTTGAACTATTCGCATTCAAGGTTGGTCCCACCGACATTAGCGATATAGTCTTCGGATCCCTTTTTCGCAAGTTTCGTACGTTGGTGGTGACTATTAAACAAGGACGAACGCTCAACGAGAATTATTGAAAGTTGGTGAACGGTTTTAACAAAAAGGAGATCTCTCGTGTTCTTTGGCAGGATGAAGATAGAATAGCATGTGTGTTCCATTGTGCCAAGTTTTTTTAACTCCGTAATGGTGTTGGCGGTCGAGTCGACTAGATTTGTATCAGGAGCGGGAGTTCGTGGTTGAATTTTAAGTTACTGCGTCAATTTTTCCACCAAACGTAAGTGCGCCGCTTCAAACTGGTTTTGTTGTTGCAGAAGAATTTTTTTCAAAGCTTCAGCAGTTATTGCATCGGTTCTGTGGGTTCGGGACATCCTTAATCTCTTATAACTACCGATCATCAATCTGTTATATCTTACTGCTTACCCCGCTCCAGTGCCTGGTGCCGGAAAAAAAATCACCGAAGGGAACACATCTTTACTCCAAACAAGCGAATGCGATAGCGTGAGTGCGTGTGAGTGCAAGAATACAACGACCGCAAGTTATTTTAGTGGAAGGACACCGTCTTACCCTGATCCAACACTGCTTCGCGCTGTCAGGTGCGGCATATTGAGGGGCCTTGTCTCTCTGTTCAGCATCCAGGGGAGTTGAGAATCTCAGTGGATTTCGGGCATTCAGTGGTTAGTTCCAGGAATCTGAACTCCTTGATGAGCATGTAAGCTATTTAATTTCAGAATGGCTAACTTACATGATAAGCGTTTTCCCCATCGGCCATGAAACGGTGAGAGCAACTACCGCATTTAGTGGATTACAGAATACGACACTGAACAAACAGCAATGTGGCCCCTGTGTTTACATGTATTTGAACAATTTCCTATTTGCAGTTTACCAAGTCCGTCTTTTCGTCCTTTTCTTTTGGGAACTGTACGCTAGTTCTTGTTCCATGACAATTAACTATTTTCAGTATATTCACATGTGTCAAACGCCATGCATCAAGTCGGGTCGAAATTGACAGCGTCAACTGTTTTTCCAAAATGTACATTGCATGAAATTCCACATCCGAAAAGTATATATTACATATTTTTCGATGACAGCGAATTAGCATGACCATATTAATTGTGAACTGACTAATTTCGCTCTGTCTGACTCCGCAGACTGATGGATTCTAAGCACGAATCACCGGAAGGAAATGCGCTTACGGAGGCTCTCTGATGCAGACACTAGCTCCGTGTTACACTTCATGAAGTCTCCTAATTTTTACATCCGATTTGAGGTTACTTTTGATCTCCTTTGCAAATACTGTGGCAGCCGATGTCATCCTGGTTGCTTTGACGAGCTTAGTTGAGCTTAAGTAAACAGATTCCGCGTCGTCTGCGTTGACGGTTTACCATAGTGCAAACTATGGTTGTTGTTGTTGTTGTTGTTGTTGTCGAAGCAGTCATATTGGGGGAGATAAGTCAGCGGACCAAGGCAGTTTCCAGTGCGACCATAAAACCAAACTAGCTAGCGGATAAAAACATAAATAAAGATTATGGATTTTGGAGACTGATTAAACCAGACCGTCGATTGTGGTGCCGTTCACTAAGTCGAACTATTAGCTTTCAGCACGCACGGGTATGAATGGGATAAACATTTTGTTTCAGTGCGATGAAAAGCCTTGAACACAGCACCGCCAACAATGACTTATGGACATGGTCACATTGTACCCAAGGTTGGTTTGGATAAAGTGAGCACCAAGCAGCACGTCCAGTATTGTGCGGAAACTCGGATCATTTTTGCATAGAATTAACAGTTTCTTGGAGTTTTCTTTGCGGCAACTTCCTGCCAAATGCAAACCAATTTGAATATCTTCATCTGATCCAAGTAGAATTACCGAGGCATTCTTATCCTTGCTCAATGTTTCATCTCCATGCCTTTCTTAAGAGTATGCGAAGCCGTTGATGCATGTCACTTTCTCCTGCATTGTCACGAGAGACCACTATGGCATAAACAGTTTCTACAAAGAAAAATAAGAAAACTCCACCTTAGCGAATATACACTCATTTGCAAACCAATTTGGTTCTTTCGAGAGAATCACCTGGAACCCAGCTGAATCTCTCGTTTATGATGTTCTCAGGCATGGATTTTCAGCAACCTTACGAGTAGTACATTACAAAAACTCCACTTGTTTCGAGCCTTTCGATACATGGTTCAGGCGTGCAGTACAAAGAAAGCGTTCAGCTGTAGCACCCTTCCGGTGCCTAGCTGCCATGCTACCCGAAAGAAGCACGAGGGCTGGGATACTGCCAGGTTGCCCAAGCCTAGACAGGGGAAGTCGAGTGGTGGAGGTCGGATTCGAACCACGGACCTTACGGTCAGTAAATTCGCGCTCTAACCACTTGGGCCATCTCGCTCCCAGTACAGTACAGTGCAGTACAAAGTACTCTTTTAACCGAAAACTGGCTGAGCATGGTGAATTCGGACAAAGTTATTGAAGCAATTCCAGGGTCTGTCTGTGATGCAGCGCAAGGAGGCTCGGGACATATTTGTGATGCGCGGTTGTACCAAAAATGATGTACCTGTTCGACATTTCCAGTGCCCTTATGGCTAGGGCACGAAAATACGTCAGACTATTTGGTAATTATCCTCGGGCAGCATCCCCCAAGAAAACACCAATTCCTATCTTGTCAGCCTTAAGTAGAAGCCTCAGGAGAGGGTACCTCAGCGAAGCCCATTCTTCGGTCTGGAGAACCAGACAGCAACAACTACCCATCCAACAGAGGCTGGTCCCTTTGGTTCATCGGTACCAAACCTAAGTACTAATCCTGCCAATAGGACAAAGAGAAGCTGGAGATGAATCAAAATCATCTGGCGTCGGATGGCTCGGCAGGCGAGTTTGTTTACTAATGGCAAGATTAGGGCCTGTTCACAGACTGAAGGTGTTGTCGTGTGGACCTACTGCTGACGACATGCTGCTTGCAGACGTAAGCCAACTCTGTGACACGCGGATCTCAATGCATGCAACCGGACAATGACGACAGTGGATAATTGCGCTCCGTACACAGCTAACCTGGCGTCCATCCAGCTATGACCAGCATGTGTTCAAAAAGGTTATTCAGTCTTAAATTAAACGCCTAGATTTTTAGTTGGATCACAACACGTGATTGACTTAAAATACATGGCTACTGGGGAGCAATAGACCTGAGCTTTCAGTGAAGCAAAATGTGACTGAAAGAAGCGAAGGGAGATGCAGGCATGCCCCAACAAACTAGGGTTTGTAAGCTTGCAAGCCAGAAGTGCATATTTATTCATTTTATTTATTTATTTATTTATTTATTTATTTATTTATTTATTTATTTATTTATTTATTTATTTATTTATTTATTTATTTATTTATTTATTTATTTATTTATTTATTTATTTATTTATTTATTTATTTATTTATTTATTTATTTATTTATTTATTTATTTATTTATTTATTTATTTATTTATTTATTTATTTATTTATTTATTTATTTATTTAGTAATTCATTCAATAGTCCAAAGGTCACAGACTTTTTCCATAGATCCTTATTTGTTATCTGCCTACGCATTCCCATACTGATTTACGCTGGATGCAACCAGCATATCTTTGGTTTTAGTGCAACGTCGCATGAGACCTGATTCATCTTACGTAAAATTTTCCTGTTCCAAATTATCTATTCTGTGCAAATTTGAAACAAATCGGCGGGAAAGTTGCAAATACGTAACGCTTTCATAAAAAACTGTACGGATATCGAAAGTATGGCCTTGCTGTCGTAATCCGACGAATATTCTGACAACTCCATTTCGAAATCCAAGTCTGATGAGCCGATGTTCACTGGCTTCCAAATTCAGTTGTATTTATTTTTACACAAGGTCATATTTCAGAATCAGTAGTCAATTGATTCGAACAGACATCCGACCTTTTCCTGGTCGTTCCATACATACTTTTCCAGAATCAACCGAAGTAATTGTGTCTTCAAACTTAGGAATACTAACTTCAAGAGCATGAATATTTACCTCAAGGACACTGCTTCTACGCGTGGTCCACTGTTCGTTTCTTATCATGAGATGAGGATCAAATGTTTTTTTCGAGCGCAGTATGCACTGGTCACTGGCATGAGAGTAGGGAAGCCAGTGGAATGAAAAAACAAAAACATGACATTACAATGATAGCTGTCGGCCTGTCTCATCTCAATGCGACTGGATGGTAATCAAGCATTGGTCACGAATAAGGAAAGTTCCCTGGGTGGTAGAAAAAACACTAAAACACATGCTCACTGGGTCAGGCGATGACGCGTATTGCGAAGCCAAAATCGGACGACTTAACTGCTGGATCGATTTCTTGCTGATCTGTACTCTCAACAGCAACGAATATGCACTAACGTTAGTTTGAAGCGCGTAACCGACAACGCGGAGACAAGCATGAGTGCTTAATCTCAGTCGAATTGCCCGAATAATGTGAATGTGTCTTCACTGACCTCATCCTGGTTAGCGGTGACACTG